GGTCTAGGCCCGAAACGTCAGCCTTTCTGCTCCTATGATGCTGCTTGGCCTGCTGTGTTCATCCAGCCCTGCACCTTGTTGTCTCAGATTCTCCAGCATCTGCAGTTCCTGCTATCTCTTGTTCCCACTGGAGTTTAGCAGAGTGAGGGGTGACCTGATTGATGGCTATAACATCCTGAATGAACTGACAGTGTGGACATGGAGAGAATGTTTCCTCTTGTGGGTCACTCTAGAACCAGGGGGCACTCTTTTAGGACAAAGACAAGGAGAACTTTTTTTAATCTCAGAGAGTTGTACAACTTTGGCACACTCTTCCTCAGAAGGCAATGGAAACAGAGTCAGTGAATATCTTTAATGCAGAGGTACCTAGTCTCTTAGATAACAAGGTGTAGAGCTGGATGATCACAGCAGGCCAAGCAGCATCAGAGGAGCAGGAAGGCTGATGTTTCGGGCCTAGACCCTTGAGAATCACAGGGAGGGTGGACTTCAAACCACAACAGATCAGTCATGTTCTAATCGAATGGTACAGCAGACTCAAGGAGCTGAAAGGCCCCCCTTGTTCCTGTTTCGATGAGGCCTAGCCAACCTTACCTTGGTTTTTCCAATCTGACAGTTGTTCCTGTCTAACTCCAACTTGTTAAACAAGGCATCAATCACTTCCTGCACTGGTTCAGCATTCTTAGGTAGCAGTACTCGGAACTGATCCAGGAATTCCTGATGCATAAAACGGTCAGAAAGAAGAGACTGAGATTAATAACAGCCTGTACGGTGACTGAGTCCTCTGATCACTAACTCTACCTGGAACACAGAGTCCTCATTCTGAGTTGTATCCCTTCACTTTACCGTCTGGAAGCTGGAATTCTTTCTATTTCTGCTACCTGTGTCCCAACTCTCACCAGAAACTATTTACTCATCACCCGTGAGCTTGTTAAGCAACATTTTTATTTTAAAATTCTCATCCTTGATTTCAACACCTTTCCTGTGATGGAATTCCTTTATTCTCTGTAAACTCTAACAATCCCTAATCATCACACTCCTCCAATTCCAGCCTTATCAGCAAACCCAATTATAACTGCTCAACCACTGGCGTGCAGGCCTTCAGCTACTGAGCTGCTTATGCTCTGGAATTCCCTTGGTGCTCTTGTCCTCCTCCTTTAAGATGCTTCTTAAAACCTGCCACTTTGGCAGAGTTTCTGGTCACCTGTCCTATACAATTAGGGTCAAAGCTTATTCTGTAACACAGGTGTGAAGAGCATTGGGAGACCTTATTCTTTAATGGCACCTTCCAATAACTCTGGGCCTCTGACACGGAACTCTGATTTTGATACAGATCCTGGAGAAAGGGGGTTTCCATGGGAGGGCAGTGGGGCATATCCACATGCTCACAGCTCCACCCTCCAACACCCACCCTCACTATTGGTTGTCCCTCCAACCTGGGTCTGGTTGTCCCTACCTGGAAGGTGTACTTGGCGCTGTACCCAGAGCGGCGGATACGCACTGTTTCCAGCATACCCGTGTACTTCAGCTGCTGCAGAACCAAATCATCATCAAAACACAGCTCCATCTGCAAAGAGACACAGACACATGGTCACAGGTCTATGACATCCACTCCCTCCATCACCGACACTCAGTAGCAGCAGTGTGTACCATTTACAACATGCACTGCAGAAATTCATCAAATGTCCTGAGACAACACCTTCCAAACCCACAACCACTTCCATCTAGAAGGACAAGGGCTGCAGATACATGGGAACGCCACCCCCTGCAAGTTCCCCTCCAAGCCACTTACTATCCTGACTTGGAAATATATTGTCGTTACTTCAGTGTCACTGGGTCAAAATCCTGGAATTCCCTCCCTAAGGGCATTGTGGGTCTAACTACAGCACATGGGACTGCAGCGGTTCAAGGCGGCAGCTTATCACCACCTTCTCAAGGGGCAACTAGGGATGGGCAATAAATACTGGCCCAGCCAGCAATGCCCACATCCCCGAATGAATAAAAGAAAACCCGACACTAACAACATCACTCACCTTCTGAGCATTTGAACGGATACATCGGATGAAGAACGGTTCAGCTTTGCTCAGAGTCTCCATCAGTTTATTCAGAGAGGCCTGGAACATGAATCAGGATCAACGTAAGTAAGTATTTCACCCTTTCCAACAGACTAATACTCACGGTGTTAGATATAAAGCTCCTTCTACACAGTCTCCATCAAACACTCCCAGGACAGGGACAGCACAGGGTTTGCCACTTGCCTGGAACTGTGCGCTGATACTGGGTGGTTTCTTCTTCTTGTGCAGATGTAGCAGGGACTTGGTGGTGCGATCGTGGAGGGTCATTCGGACAATGTGCTTTAAGGAACATGTGTCGATGAGATTCTACAGGAAAGGTAAGGTTTGGGGGAGCAGGGGGAAGAAAGAAAATGGTAAGAGCTTGGTTTAAGACAGAACATTTAACAAATGTCAGTAACAACATGAATATGTTCAACAGCCTGAGATTGTACTTTTCATTTAACAACCCAATGGTCACTTGCTGAATCCCCTGGGCAAAATGTGCCATTTACCATCCATAAATCAGATCTGCTTATAGTGTGAAAGTTGCTATTTTTTCCACAACAATTTAAAAGGCTCAGTGAGATGCTGCCAGGAGCTGTCGCTGTGCCCCCAAGTCCCTCTGGACCCACACATGGTCCCCAAACCCACACTCTTTTCAGGATTCTGGGATAAATCCTGACCCGAAGCCAGTGTAAATAATGGACAAGGACAGAGTGCTGGAGGCTACAGGAGTTCCAGTCTCTGCAGCTTGTGCTGAATTCAGAATACCAGCTTCAGGGAGGGAGGTTCCACTGGGAACGTCAACTCGTCACCCCTTTAACTACAAGGCCACAAGCTCAGATCTTCTCGGGCAACTAACCCTGGGTCTGTGCCAATGGACATGGCAGTGATAGTAGTTACACATCACATTCTCTGTATCTCAGGAACGGCCTGTCCTGCTGTTTGTAACAAGATACGTAGAAGTGAAATGTTTATCACGATTAGGACCAAGAGGTTTTGAAGTTAGCAGCTTCATTGTTACTGGCAACCTTAAACCTGACCTTAACCCTAATGCTAAATCTAACCCATGCCCTCCCCCTCCCCCAACCCTCACCTTCACCCTATTCCTTGTCCTAACCGTCAAAGTAACGACAGTACTATCAGATTTCTTTCACCAAGTGGAACAGCTGATATCAGAGCTAAGCTTTCCTCATTGTCCAAGTCGGAATTTCAAACAGCAAAAGGTCAGAAAACGAAAGGACACTGATTGGAAAAGGAGACGTACCTTGGGAATCTGCAGCTTTTGTTTCAAGCCTTTATTTTTCCTGTGGAAATATCAGAGGGTTTGTTTTCAATCTGTTTCTCGGATTGTGTCAGTCGGGTTAGTCCAATCAGAAAGCAGCAAAGTGCGAGGCAAAAAGCTGTGACTGACTTTCAGGGAGTGCGGGGATTGGCTGACCATCACTGAGCTGTCCAATCAGATTTTCCGATTCACAACCCACCCCACCCCCTCTAAACTCCAGTGGAGGCACATACTTCACAGAGAACAGGACTAATAATGGGGTGGGGGGGCACAATAACAGGAAGGGGGCAAATAAATGAGGAAAAGGCAGTAACGGGGAGGGAAAGGAAGCCCCACTAGAGAGGGAGCAATAATGGGGGGGGTGCTATCCAAGGAGAGGCAACAATACAGAGGGGCTAATACTGGAGGGGCAATAACGACGAAGCAAATACTGGGGAAGAAGAAAGCAGGGGCAATGCCAGAAAGGAGGAAATACAGGGGCGGTGGGATTGGGAATGAGTTTTAAGGGGGTCCTTGCGATTGGCTGGGGTGTGATAGGGATGACGATCTGGAGTGGAGTGTGGGATTGGGTCAAGGGGTTGGGGGTGGGGTATGTGACCCTCCCCCCAGAGGGAGGAACTGCTGAGGAAGCAGGTGTTCTCTAAATGGCTTGTGAAGTTGATCCATTTCCAACATAAGGAGCAGCGAGTTACCATGACAGCACATTGGGAATTCCTAGTTGCACAATGAAGATCTGATCCAAACTCCATCCCCAGCTATTTGCACAGCAGTTTCTGTGATGACAGAGATGCTAATTTTTGTAAGGTACCCAGCAATCCTTGCACTCCGATGAACTCAGTAACCGGCTTTCCACTTTCTCCTTTGACCGGTTTCACTTTCCCACTTTCTTCTGGGTGTAACTGTTATTGGGCTTTTCGCTCCTTTCAGCTACTCAACGCTCAGCTCAGGGGCAGCGAGCAAATCCGTCGGCATCCATTACCCCCGACCCCTTCCCTCTCACCCCCACCTTTATCTTCACAAGACAGTAAAGTCTTTCCTGCTGCAATTTTCCACCCAGTTAATGGACACGGTGAGCAGCAGCACATGGTGAGACACTCTCGGGTCTTGTCTCTGTATTGTTTTCTTACACACAGAGTCAAACATCAGGAGGATTTACACTCAATGGGCCTGAATGCCTTACACCCAGAGAAACAGAGAACAGAGAAACGGCCTGAAGGTAAGGAAGATGGCAGCTTGAGGCAAGACAGAGCTCAATGGAAACTCACTGGAGGTGGCTGTGGGGCCTCCCGGGACCTCGCAATGATTTGAGGAGGCTGTGGGGTTCGTCACCGTGCATTACAGCCCATCCTCGAATACTCCTCATCAGCTGGGTATGCAACTCACTGGAAGACCATTGGCAGGAGACAGAAAGTCAAGGAGAGACAGAGTGCCAGAGAAGAAACAACGAAGATGGAGTTAGAGAGAGGACCCAACACCAAAAAGGTATCAGCAAGGCTGTCACCATGGCAACAAGGCTGCATGCCAGACCATCACCTCAAGATCCAAGCCCCAGACGCTCTCAGCAGCTTCAATTATTCCTGCCATTTGAACAGGAACCTCAAACCCAGAGAGCAGCTGGGAACAGCTCTGACACTGATGTCACAGATTCAAATTCCAGAACAGTGCACCACAAGACTGAGTGATTCATCTGCTCACTTACAAAAGGAAACAAAAGCTACAGACTCTTGTAGTGCAGCAGTAGTGTCCCTACCTCTGAGCCAGGAGATCCTGGTTCAAGTGCCACCTACTCCAGAGGTGTGTCATAACAACATCACAGAGAATATGCTTTGAAAAACTAAAGTTATTGCCTGTTGCCAAATCCCACATGTGGTAATGCCCTTCTGGGAAAGGGCAACTCCATGTAACTCCAAGCCCATATTGATGTGACCAACTCTAACATCCCATGGAACGGGCACATCCCAAAGGACCCATTTCGATAGGAATTTACCAAGAGAGAGATTGGTATTAGTCTCTGTAAGAGGGTTAGATATTAAAATGGAAAGGCTTTGACCACGAGGCGATATTTTTCCCTGGCGCAGCCTGGCCTCTGGTGCCCGTGCTCCGTGCAATCCATATCACTCTGTTACTTACCTCACTCCATCCATCCCAAGGCGGCATGTCAGCAAAGAGAAAATCCAGAGTTGTGATAATCCACCTGCGTCCCCATGTGGTTACACACTGCACGGTCAGAGGCACGGTGAGCCACCCCATCCGACACCTCTCTCTCTCTCCCCCCCGCTCCCTCCAGCACCAAACCTATACCCGCACCCCTCGTCCTCGCTATGGCATCCCCAATGTCCCCAGTTCTTCCAGGATTACAGAGAATGAAGACAACCAGAATCTCTGGGAAGAGGCAAAAAACTACAGAGGAACCACATAGTGTTGGAAAGGAGGGCAGCCCCCTCACCCCACCCCAGCCCCACCTCATCACCACCATTGGGGCAACAACAGCTCACAGCTGGGCACTTCCTGCCCATGTGCACACCTGGGAAGGGAGGAAATTGGGTCCACCCCTCACACTTTAATAACATTCCTTTCCAGATTTAGTCAAGTGGAAGCTAATGGGACATTGGTCTTTACCTGAAGGGTGTTCAGATACAGAAGAAAGAAAGTAATGTTTCAGCCCTGAACACATCTGAACTCACTGGGTTCAGTTCTAACCCTTGCATTTAGATGGGAAGGCAGCTCATCACCATTTTCTCCAGGGCAATTAGGGATGGGCAATAAATGGTGGCCCAGCGATACCCACGTCCCATGACTAAACGAAAAGAAAAAGTGATATTGGACCCAGTGTGGGTCCTAAGCTCTGGAATTCTCTCCCTCAACCTCTCCACCTCTTTTAAGATACTCCTTAAAGTTGGCCAAGCTCTTTGTCACCTTCCCTAAATATGACCTTGTATTTTTTTAAATTTGCTCGTGGGATAAGGGCATCAGTCCGTGAGCCAGCATTTATTGCCCAGCTCTAGTCCCAGCTTCAACGGAGTCTCAGGGAGCAGCTATGGGCCTGGTATCACATATAGGCCAGACCAGGAACGCAGATGGGTTTTTGACAATAATCGACAATGGTCACATAGCCACTGCTGCGTTACTTTTTAATTCCAGATTCTGACAATTCAAATTTCTGCTATTGGTGAGATTTGCACCATATCCTCAGAGCAGGAACCCAGGGCTCTGAATTACTCATCCATTACTACTCCACTGCCTCTTCCCCATATTGATTCAGTGTCAAACTTCCCCATTTGATAATTGTTCCTGTGAAACCATTCAGGATAAATGTCATGTCACTTTACAAATGGGATATTCACGCAGCTGAGTCCTGTCTTAATGATGTTGACTCAAACTGCTCTCTGACCTTAACCAGAAGCCCCTGAGTATTTTCACAGGACAGTGAGGGGAATGCAGCAAGCAATGCCAACCCTGCTGAGAGATTGGCTCCTCCTGATCGGCATCAGGAATTACTCCTCTGGGTGAGATGATACACAGAAGGGTGAACAGACTCACCTCTGGAGGGAATGCCACCCCAGCCACTGCTGCTAAAATAACTGGCTCAATAAACCACAAACCCCAACCACTACTCAATCTCTCCCTCCCGACATACTCAGTAAAAACAAAGAACATTAGGGTAGATGCTAAAAATCTGAAAATCGGGTGTTGAGAATATTCACTGCCTTTGGCAATGGATCATTTTGAGGATGATGCAGATATCTCACTATTACTGACGTAACCGGGCATCGAGAGTACAGTGCCCCCCACACCCACCCCCGCCCCGCCCCACCCCACCCAACCAGCGCTGTTTGCTCCATTTGTGACTAGTCCCTTTATGGATTTACCTGTCGCACTATACCCCCCAACTCCCCCCACCCCCCACACACAACACAATCCTTACCGCAATGGCTTCTCTGATGAGGTGCTCAATCGCTGTAATTCTCCAAGAGGGACACGAGAAACACGCCGGGGCATTCCTGCAAATGGGGAGAGGGTCAGGACGAGAAACATGAGCCCCATGTCTGACCCCATATCCTTACCGGCCCTGCCGCCTCTCCCCACCAACTTTACCCCATTCCCTCATCCCCTGATGCTCACCGCTAGCCCCTCCCCTGGCAGTCTGTGCCCTACATCTTGTCGTTTCCTGTTCCTAGCCCCTCCCTTACAGCTCCCCCCAAGTCCCCACACCACTCCCACACCCCCCGACCCCGAGCCCCTGACCCTGTACCTGCAGCAGCTCTCCTTGCCCATTGCTGTCCAGCTTTTTTGAATGCAGCCACAGCTCGGATCGCAGCTCGAAGGGTTGACCAGCGGAATACAGATACAGGATCCATCCCAATCAACTCCCGGATAAACGCACTGTCACTGCTCCGCAGGAGGGCCACAATATCCGGGCGCATGTAATCCGTGTTTTTTTCCCGAAAATCCTGCTCGCAGTGAGGCAAAACAAAAATCAGTCATCAGTCCATTTATACAAGAAGAAATTGCAGGTGTGAGAGAGAGAGAGAGAGAGAGATGGAGGGAGGGATGGGGGAGATATGAGATAGAGAGAGAGATACTGCAAGATGGAGGGGGGGAGATATGGCAGAAACAGAGAGAGAGTGCAAGAGGGAGGGATGGGGGGTGCAAAGAGACAAAGAGAGAATGAGAGAGAGAGACACACACAGAGCGAAAGGGAGGAAGAGAGAGAGACAGAAAGAAGGACAGAGAAAGATGGACAGATCCAGATACACATAGTATTACGATGGCACACATCAGAGCTGACAGTCCCCAGGTAAGGCCTGGCCTCATGTGGCCCTGTCCCACCTCAGAATGAGGGGGTCATGGGTTTAAACCCCACTCAGTGATGTGGGCATATAACCCAGCCTGATAGTGTCACATTCCCTCAGGGATTGTCAGAAACACTGCTGTTTTGATGAGGCATTAAATCAAGGCCCGGTGTACCAGCTTATGTACATAAATGACCCCATGGTCACTATTCCAAAGAGCAGCAATAGGACATCGGGGGTTTGAGGGTGCCGGGGTTTGGGAGTGTGGGGTTTTGGGGAAATAGGTTACCGTCCAGGGATATCCTGGACAGAGAGGGAGAGGCTAGGGGACGGTACAGGAACAGAGAGTAGAGGGGACTGCTGTGGACATACCTTGATCTGATATTTGACTCGGCCAGCAAAGTGTTGGATGATGAAGGCCGGCTCCATCACTGGGGTCCCCACAAAAAACCGGCTGCCCTCATGTTGCTGTTTGAACTTGGCCAGAAGCGTCTGATTGGTGGCATGAGGGAAACTGAGGACAGGACAAGGCAGGTCAGTGTAATACTCACCCTCTGTCCAGACCCTCACCCTCTGGACAGACCCTCCCTCAGGACAGCCTTCACTCTCCGCCTCTACCCTCACTCACTCTCACCCTCCACTCGGACCCAACCCCCTCTCTCACTCTCCACCTGGACCCATCCCCCAGCCTCACCCTGTCCAGACTCTCCCTCACCCTCTGCCCAAATCCACCTCCCCCTTCACCCGGATCCTGTACCTGTGACCCCATTCTCCAAACCCAGCCCCTCCCCCTCACACCTCCTCCTCCCTTCACACACGCTCACTATGCCTGCTGGGTTTGGCTGTCAATGTGATGAAACTTTACATCCAGACCCACTTCCTGTCAGCATGTTCCATGATTTGTTCTCAACTCCACCTTTATAATGGAGGCAGCTCAATGTAAACAAGTCACACTGTAACTATAGTGCCACTAGTGGCAGTTCAGTGTCATTGCAGTGTAACCTGTTTACATAGGCATTGTTCATCATAAACACAGACACAATACATTTTACTATTACTAGATTAGAGATGTCAGAATAGAACATAGGACCTCAAACAGGATTGTCTAATTCTGTGAACTTTGAGCTGAATGTGCTGTTTCAGATGTCAAGAGGAATTTAAATCATCCATGGCCCACTCAAAACCAGAAACACACTCAGACAGTCACTCAGTACCTCCAACCCTGCACAGCTCCCCTTTCTGGCCTCCACTCGTCTCTCAGTCTGCTTACTGGGTCCAACTCCCACCCCAGCTCACTCACTCTCCCTGTCCACCCCGCCAAACCCTCTCCTTTCACAGTCCATCCATCCCTTTAGTCTCTCACTCCCTGCACCCCACTGGCCCCACCCCCTCACACCACATCTGTCTCTCGTCCTAAGCCTTTGACTTGCTCTGCCTGTTGATTCCTGTATTTTCCCTATTCCTCTCTCACCCTCCATCACTCTGCTGCCTCTCTATTTGTTTGTCTCTGTCCCACCTACACTTCCACACAGAGACAACATTCCTGAAGTTGTAACCCTCTTCCTACACACCTGCACTACCCTGGCCCCGATTCCTCACTCCCCTCCCCCATTCCCACTCTCCTCCCTCCCAACCCCTCCGATTCCCCACTCTCCACTCCCCACCCCCCCAGCCACCAACCCCCATTCCCCACCACCACCCCTCCTCGTACTTGCTCTCCTCGTCGAGGAGGTGGAAGAGCCCAGTGGGTTTTTTGCTGATCAGGTGGATGCAGCCAACGTTGTCGATATAATCAATGTTGTGCCAGGTGATGCCCTCACTCTGATACTCCTCCTGGAAAAAACCAACCAATGGCCAGGCCAGAGTCAGGGAGATGAGCTAAGCTGTGTCAATCCGTGACATTTTAGTGGGACAGAAAAGTTTACCAGAAGACCCCACCCACCGACCCTACCCCACCCCGAGCCCCGATCACACTCCCTCCAGCCCTGAGGAGCTCAGACTCTCATCAGGTTCCACTGGCCCAGCCCCCATGTGAGTACAGCCCCTCCCAAAATCCCAGCGCTCCTCACCGCCTCCCCTTCCCAAACCCCAGCCCCTCCCACCGCCTCCCCTTCCCAAACCCCAGCCCCTCCCACCGCCTCATTCCCCTCCACCCTCTCCCCCATTGCTGACTGCTCCCCTGTCTCCCCAAGGGGTGAAGGGTCTCGCTGTGGGGTCACACCCACCTGCTCCAGTTTGAAGATGTGTTGGTTGAAGTAATATTGTAGCTGCTCATTGGCATAATTAATACAGAACTGCTCAAAGCTGTTGTGCGGAAAATCCTCAAATCCAAAAATATCCAGAACTCCGATTGACAAGCACTGTGGAGGGGGTGGGGGAATGATGGAGGTAGGATGAAGGGGAGAGGGGAAGGGAGAGGTTGTGAGGAAAAGACAGTGAGCAGCAGCAAATAATACAGTCACTGCCACAACAACATTCCCATTCCCATTCCCATTTCCATCCAATCCCAACAGTGAATACCACAAAGGCATCAAACACACAAGCCTAATGACTCGAGGGCCCTGACCCTCCAGCTCAAGCTGTGTTGGACGGAGTTAGATCAGTTGACTGTTTGCACTCACCTTGGCCCAGGACTCAGTAACCTGAGCTCCAGACCATACTGACCATAATCCAGGGTAGAACAATCCCAACTGTGTGCCCACCCTGGCACTATACCTATTAACCTCCCTCCCCAAACTGCCTCAGGCCTGAAATTCCCAACAGACCTTCAGCTGCAACAGCTCTTCATGGGAGAGAGCTCCAGATTCCCGCTCCCCTCAGTGTGAGGTGATACTTCCTGACCATCTCCCTTGAATGGTCTGTATTGAACTTTAAGGTTCTAGCCCTTGTTGTGGACTACCTCTTGTTGCCCCCTACACCATGGTCAACTCCTCTAATCATCTCAAAGCAGGTCATCCTTTAACTTTCTAAACTCAAGGGGATACATGTGTCATCAATGCTAACAGTCCTTGCAATTTCATCCTCCCATCTTCTGCACCATTCTGGAGAACGTGCATTGCGTGTGCTCCACACTCTTCCCAAGATACAGAGCCCACAGCCGAACTCAGTTACACCAGCTAGGATCTGCCCAGAACTCTGCACAGTCTCACTGACTCCCCTCTGTACTCTGGCTCCTAGACCATAACCTGCTGTTCCCATAGAGAGGTTGCTGTTTTACCATCACTGACTCCTCCATGTCCTTCTTGTTCAGGAGAGCATGATTAATCCGAAGAACAATCCAATCAAAAAGTGCTGCATACAGGGACTTGGCCATCGAGTCCCGAGTCGTTACAGCCTGAAAAACACAAAATAGCCAATCAGGCCAGTCTCCGTGCGCAGTGCCGGCACTCTACTGGTCCATCCCCTCTTTCAATCAGGGTTAACCTATTCCCCACAGTGCTATTTGGTCAGAGATAAATAAAAACTGCAGATTCCAAGGCAGATAAACAGGAGACTGGAAGAACACAGCAAGCCAGGCAGCATCTAGAGGAAAGGATCAGTCAATATTTCAGGTATTACCCCAACTCCTGAAGAAGGGTAATACTCAAGACGTTGACTGCTCCTTTCCTCCAGATGCTGCCTGGCCTGCTGTGTTCTTCCAGCTCCCTGTTTGTCTACCCCACAGTCCTACGTTGTTCTCTGTGACTCAGCCCAGACTGGCCCACAGCCTGGCTTTGCTGTATTTAGGTTGGAAATTGCACCTTTGCCACTCTTTATGTTTTGGCCTCAGTACCATGACAGTTATCCCCCATATCATTTAAGGATATTCCCCAATCCAGAAGAGCATGAACTGTCAGGGCTCTAAGCCAAGCGTTTGTCAGGACCGGAGTATCCAATCCAAACCGGATTCATCACACAGCTGACCCAGTCAGTGAGACACAGTCAGGTTCTTGCTGCAGGCCAAGTTCAGAAACGTTCTCCCAGCACCAGAATGAAACAGAGCTGTGGGACTTACCTCATTGAGGCTGTAAGGCAAAATCAACTTCTCTCCAACAGTCACGGTCTTCCTCTTTGTTAAGGCCTCGATTAACAAGTCCCGCTTTACCTGTGGAGTACAGCAGGAGAATAATCAGTACCCAGACCAGAAACTGTGGCTCCATGTACATACCTGGTCCCCGTATTCCAAACTAAACACAGAGGCACTGGAGAAGGTGCAAGAAACAGGAGGATCTGGTCTTATAGTGTGGTTTTGATAGAGCAGACCTCGAGAAAATATCTCACGTCATCAAGACCAGAAAGCGGAGTCATGAATATCACAAATGAATCCACTGGGAGTTCAGGAGAAAAGTCTTTCCCCAGATAATGGTAAGGATGTGGGGCTCACTCCCACCAGGAATGGCTGGAGAGGACTGCATTTAAGGGGGAGTCTGGGTGAAGACTCAAGGGAGAAAAATTTAGAAGTATATTCTGATAGGAGTGAGAAGGCTTGTGTGTAGCAAAAACACTAGCACACAGTACATGGACTGAATAGCCACTGTCTGCAAATACTGTACAATGCAGAAAGCACCCTGAGTGAAGATCATCCCTGTGTCAGGAAGGTAGGGAGTGAGGACAGAATTGAGGGGAGGTGATTGGGGGTGGAGGGGAGGGATGGGGGGGTATAAGTCCCTCCTAGTATCTAGGTGATCTCTGCAGCTCAATAATGGGGACAATTATCGTGTGTTGGGCCAGAACCAGAGGCTTCTGTGCACACCCACGTCAGCATCCCAGAGCACAATGGATTCCATTTGGAAAAGATTCTCCATACTCTCAACCACTGAGGTTTTGAGGTTTCTGTAAATTTGTTCACAGGATGTGGGTGTTGTTAGTGAGGCCACTGTTTATTGCTAACCCCTAAAGTGCCCGAGAGAAGGCAGTGGTGAGTTACATTGTCATGTGGCGAAGGGGCACCCACAGTGGTGTTTGGCAGGAAGTTCCAGGATTTTGACAGTGACAGAGTATGAAGGGAATCCTGCTCCCCAATCCATTATTCACCGTGTTTCACTGTATACAGGCAGTAGATATTAACCGGGTTTTCCCATGTGCTCCTGTCAATAAGAACAGGCTGAACCTGGGCTGGTTGGGTTAGGAACAATGTCCATGTGACAGTTATCCTCAAACTCTCACACACCTTCAGCAGCTCTGACAGGGTGTCCAGGACTTCAGGGGGTTCAACCTCCAAGCTCTCCTCTCTGCCAGTAAACTTCTTCTTATAGACAACATTCCCAAGATAGAGGATGGCAGAAAGCACAAAAAATATCCTGGAGGAGGAAAGAGAGTCAGCAGACTGAGGTCAGAATTTTGCCAAATAATAAACCTTCAATAATCTCAGCTGTTTCAAACAAAATTGAAAATCTATACACTCCAGTACTTCACAGATCATGACAGCTATAAAGGGACAGCCTGCAAGTCCCATCCTGCCTCAGGCTGCCGCCGATCTACTAGTTGCACAACATAAGAAAGTGTTTGGTACGCTTGCCTTTATAGGTCAGTGCATTGAGTAGAGGAGTTGGGAGGTCATGTTGTGGCTGTACAGGGCATTGGTTAGGCCAATTTTGGAATACTGCATTCAATTCAGGTCTCCCTGCTTGAGGAAAGATGTTGTGAAACTTCAAAGAGTTCAGAAAAGATTTACAAGGATGTTGACAGGGTTGGAGGGTTTGAGCTATAGGGGAAGGCTGAATAGGCTGGGGCTATTTTCCCTGGAGCATTGGAAGCTGAGGGGTGACCTTATGGAGGTTTACAGGGAGGCGATGGCCTAGCGGTATTATCGTTGGACTGTTTAATCCAGAGACCCAGATAATGTTCTGGGGACCCGGGTTCAAATCCCGCCACGGCAGATGGAGGAATTTGAATTCAATAAATATCTGGATTTAAGGGTCTAATGATGACCGTGAATCCATTGTTGAATGTTGGAAAAACCCATCTCGTTCACTAATGTCCTTTTGGGAAGGAAACTGACATCCTTACCTGGTCTGGACCACATATGACTCCAGACCTGCAGCAATGTGGTTGACTCTTTACTACCCTCTGGGCAATTAGGGATGGGCAATAAATGCTGCCTGGTCAGTGGCACCCTCATCCCATGAATGAATAAAGGAAAAAAAAATCGTGAGCATAGATAGGGCAAATAGACAAGGTCTTTTTCCCAGTGTGGGGAGCCCAAAACTAGACAGCATAGGTTTAAGATGAGAGGGGAAAGATTTAAAAGGGACCTAAGGGGCAACTTTTTCACACAGAGGGTGGCGTGTGTATGGAACGAGCTGCCAGAGGAAGTGGTGGAGGCTAGTACAATTACAACATTTAAAAGGCATCTGGATGAGTACATGAATAGGAAAGGTTTACAGGGATATGGGCCAAATGCTGGCAATGGGACTAGATTAATTTAGGATATTTGGTCAGCATGGACGAGTTGGACTGAGAGTCTGTTTCTGTGCTGTGTATCGCTATGACTCTATGACCCTGTGATTGGCCAGCATTTACCATAGACTCACAGAGTTTTTAACATCATGGAAAGAGACCCTTCAGCCCATCGTGTCTGTGCTGCTCAAACAACCATCTACTCTAATCCTATTTTGCAATGAAAATTTCCTCCAATCCTCTTTAAACCTCCTGCTCCTTACCGTAAAACTGTGCCCTCCCCCTCACCTCTGGTTATTTGCCCGTCCACTAAGGAGAAAGGCTTCTCCCTATCTACCCTGTCTATGCCCCTCAGAGCTTTGTAAACCTCAAATAGGTCCTCCCTCAGCCTTTCCTGCTCCAAGGGAAACAACACCAGCCTCTCCCTTCGGAGCTGAGTCACTCCAGCACAGCCAATGTCCTGGTGAGTCTCCCCTCTACTCCCTTCCTACTGGAAACACATCTCTCTTATAGGGCAGTTCCCAGAACTGCTAATAGCTCTGGCCTAACTCACATATACAGTTCCATTGTAACCTCCCTGCTCCTGTTTTCAATGACTTTAATATTAAAGACAAGTATCCCATTTGCCTCTTGACCACCCAATCATGCTGCCCCACAGCCCTCACACCAACTGCTGGGTGTGCTGGCGATCAGGAGATGAAAGAGAGTGAAGGTTAACAATGGTGAACTCACTGATTCTTGGTTGCATGCAGGAAGCCGACCATCTCCATGGCCTGTTTCAGGCGTTCAAACTCGTGTTTCAGATCCTCGCCATCATCCACACAAAAATTCTGCTTCTAGAAGATGTCAGGAAAAGACAGGGTATAATTCAGCTCTGTAGAGGACAGGAGAGACAGAGACAGAGACAAAGAGAGGCAGGACACTGGGTTGGGAGGGTGGGTGTGGATTGCAGCCCTCGGGGGAGGGGCTGAGAGAGGGGTCCAGGCCAGGCAGATGGGGCATTGGTGAGTAGATAGTGCACAGCAATAAGGGGAGACAGCAGGGCACATACCTATGACCAAGAAAGAAACAGAGCGAGCCAGAAACAGAGAGAGAAAGAAGGTGTTCGGGGATTGTCAGGACAGACAGAGAGACAAAGTGGGTATGAAATGGGAACACTAGCACAGCCTGTTTCAATGTTTCCTGTTTATTGTTAATCGGCAGTGTCTGGGTTCACTGTAGAATCCCGGATGTACCTGATTGAGGTAGTAATAATCAGCTGGCTGCTTCAACTGGAAATCCCATCGCTCCGACTCAGTCGCCCCCAACAACAAATAATAAAATACATGGTAGTTCCTGCATGGGGTGGTGGGGATTGGAATAAGGAGAGGGTGGAGGGTGGAAGGGAGAGGTGGGAAGGTGGGGTGGGGTGGAGGGGAGATGGAAGGGGGATGGGGGGGGTGGGAGGGATGGAAGGGGGAGAATGGGAGAATATAGAGAGAAGGGTAGGGAAGGGTGTGAGAGAGAGAGGATAAAATGGCAGTTAGTGAATTTCAGGGTGAAGAGATCAATGAACAAAGATGGTCATTAGCGAGGTTGAGTCATGTCGAATGTAACTTGCGGCAGGTCCAAGAGAGCTTGAAGATTTCAGAGGGAGGTAGCTGCAATATCACCATCTGGTAGGACTCACCACGATCCAGTGATATTGTGGCCAAACAGCCTGGTATTCTCACCATCAGAACTGACGTGGACACTCTGGGAATGAGTTCCAATCCACCAATCAGTCAACTTGAGATATTCTGTTATGTTAAAGGTGCTATACAAATGCAAACTGCAATTGCTGAGCCTGCATCTGGGGTTTCGGAGGGGGCATGGTGGTTGGAATGTACAGGTTTAATAAAATGCAGCCACATTCTCCTGGCCTTGCACCTGGCGAACTGAAACAAGGAGCACGATCCCTGACAGTGAAGGGGGAGACACGCTCCATTTAACCAGCTGCACCAAGTCTCTGCTCAAAGCACAGAATAAATGTGTGTGTGGATTAGTGAGCAGGTCAGGGAGAGGGTCCATGTCTCATCTTTGATCTCCCTCCTTGTCTCTATCTTGGCCACACGTCAAAACCCAGGAAACTGACATGTTCACTCTCTTTGATGTCCAGCATCTGTTCTGAAAGTGTCGTCTCATTCACCAATCAAATTACTCCCCAATACAAAGTCATCTCAAGTCATCTTGTACAAGGTCATGGGGTCACCAGCCCCTCAGTCGAATCTTACCTCTCATCAGCCTCCTGGGACACCAGGCGTGATTTCTCCAGGAGATATTTCTCTACAATAGCCCTGGAAAAAGAGAGAACCTTAAATCACAAAGAAAAGAGAGAGAGAAGCAGGGAGAGAGAGCAGTCAGAACAAATGGCAGGGGCAGAGATGTGGAAAAGTTAACACACCAATGTCACACCTTTCACTCTCCCTCAGGGAAAGTGCTGGCCCACATCTAAAAAACAGAAACATCAAACTCAAGGAGCCAGAGTTGGAACAGGCTGTGGGTCAGAGACAGGGACAGAGATGGATTAGCCGATTCATGTCAGAGAAAGGGAGGGTGAGTGAGTGATCGAGTCTGTGAGAAAGATTTACTATTAAGTACATGTATACATGTGTCAGAGAGAGAACGAGGGGGAAGGGGGAAACACAGCGAGGGAGGGGGGGAACATAGCGAGGCAGGGGGGAACACAGCGAGAGCACATGAGTGTGTGTGACGGGAAGTGAGTGCGAGTGCGAATGTGTCTATGTGGGTGTTAATGTGAGAACAAGTGAGAGAGACAGTGAGTGTGAAAGCGAGTGTGCATGTTTGTAAATGCGTATGATTGTGCAAGTGAAATAATGAGAGTTTGAGTGTGTGAGATGTGCGCATGAGTGAGAATGCATGAAGAAATGTGTGTGCGCGTACGTGTGTGTGTGTGTGTGTGTGTGTGTGTGTGTCTGTGACAGAAAGTGCCAGTAGACATGTCTGTGTGCATGAGAGTGGAAGTGTGCGAGATGAAACAGCTGGTACCTGGGATGGGGAAGGTCTGCCCATACATGCTGCAGCTGCTGATTTCTGACACCAGGCTCAGTATTCCCATTGGGGTGGGATTTTCAGACTTAGTCACCACTTGATCTTTCCTGGTGTCTGAAACCCTCACTGAAGCTGCTGCCTCGCGACGCCCGTTGTTAATGAGGAAGCATCTGGCTCAGTAAGTAAGGATGTTGCCCGTTATCAGGCAAAGCCTTTACTGCTCAGAGCCACAGCAATCAGCTTCCTGTCACATAGAGAGGGACTTATTAACCCATGGTCTTGTTACTGCTCAGTGTGTACACACACACACAGACACACTCACACCAACTAGCCCCACCCACTTTCCTCGGATCAACTGATGGTCTCTCTCAACTTATACCATCTCCCCCTCTCCGTCATGTCAAAAACAAGTTAATCTGAAGGCCACAGGGTCACACTCACCCTCTAACAAGTCCGTTTTCTAAATAATTGACCTGAATAAATTTGCCAAATCGACTCGAGTTGTTGTTGTGGGCAGTTTTTGCATTTCCAAAGGCCTGCAGGGAAAAAAAAACATAGGCTATTAGACTGGGCAGTGAGCTGCTTGATGGTGGCACTGGAACTGGTACCAGGATATGGAACAATGAAACCCCATCATTAACCCCTCTGCTCTTCCACAGTACCCCTCCCTACCCCAGCCCACTGCTGTCTATTCACTCCTCTGTTCCTCTGTTCCACATCATGCAGGGAGTCTGAGCAGAGCTGGGTAACTGCTCTCATGCTCCCTCTAAGCTGTGAGTCTGAGCTACTTCCCACACTGATCGAGCTGCTAGATTGGGTCTGCAGTAAGAGGTGAGGGAACCAACAAGAGGAAAAAGCAGACTCAGCCTCACCAGTCTGTTGGCTGCAGATACATCATGTATTGGTAAGACTGACCACCACAGTTTTTGTGGAGACAAAATCCCACCTTCACATTTACAACACCCTCCATCAAGGGGCAATTATGGAGGGACAACAAATTCTGACTGCTCCAGTCAGAATCCCACGAGTGAATAAAAAATAAATCTATTCATACAAAGTTTAAATAAAGAAAACACCCAATACATTGAAAAAACAAAATACAAAAAAGGCAACTTTTGTCGATTCAAAAGTCAGGCCCTCTTTCATTCTTTCTATTTTGAGCTTGTCAAACTGAAATGAAAGATTCTCGCCTGTGTATCCGCTTCCAAACTTACTTTTGTTCTGTGAAAAGACAAAAATACATACTGCTAACTAAAAACCCAACAAACGCCTCTCTCATTATAGCAGGGTGATGGCTCTGGTTCTGAACTTCAAACCTACAGCAGGCCTTCTCAAAGTAGAGGTCACGACCCACTGCAGGGGTCACAAGCTAAAATTCTGGGCTCCCAAACTCTGAGGTCAACGTGGAGCTCGGGCCAGGGTATAGCAGCCATGACCCTGCTCCCACAGCCCCTCCCAGACCCATAGACACATCCCCACCTTCCGTCATCTCCCAAAATAGGGTACCCCACACTCCCAGTGCTCTCACACATCAGTGTCCTGCTCTCTGTTCTCGATGAGGGACTGTGATAATTTTCATGTCTCAAAATGGGTTCAGTGGGGAAGCCCTGATCTAGAGAGGGAATGAGTTCAAATCCACCAGGGGAAAATTAAAACTGCATTCAGTAAATCTAGTCATTTGCAGCCAAACACGTTACACAGTATCAGTGGGTCAAATTATTTCTTCTTCCACGTTGTGCTCAATCTTTACAACCAGTGACTCCAGACCCACAGCAATGCAACTGCCTTTGAAATGGCCAAGCTCAATTTCAAACACAATTACAGATGGGTAATAAATGCATCCCAAAGAATAAAGAAGAGAATGGAATCAAACCTTGTACAGAGTGTGTCTCAGTCTCCTTAACCAAGGACAGATATTCTAGTCGCAGGAGAGAATGCAGCAAGGTTTACCCACCTGACTCATGGGGATGGCAGGGTTTGAAATAGCAGAGATTGAGGAGACTCGGCCCGTATTCTCTGGGGATTAGAAGAATGAAAAGGGATCTCATCGAAATGTACAAAATTTATAAAAAAGGCTTGACCATGTGGATTCAGTCCAGAACAAAGGACCATAGTCTCAGGATAAGGGGCAGGTCATTTAATACTGAAATGAGGAAGAATTTGTTCAAATAGTGGATGGTGATTCTTTGTACATCTTTACCTGGGGGACATGGCAGCTCAGTCACTGAGTAGATTCACGACAAAGATCAATAGATTTCTACATACTAATAACATCAAGGAATTTGGGACAGCACGGAAAAATGGTGTATAGGTAGATGGTCAGCCATGATCTAGAATGGTAAAGCAGATTCAAGGGGCTGAATGGCCTAATCCTGTTCATATCTGACATACATAGGGATTCTTTGTTACTACTGGTGGCACACATCCACATTATCTCAATAATATTCACATAAAATTCACACATGAATAAAAAACAATTAGAGGGAACTTGCTCATGGGTCAGGAACAGAAAGTACCAGAAATCCTGACAGCCTTTGCTACGTGTGGATCTTTGGGACCATTACCTGCTCTCCTGTGCTGTCCTATCTAAGAATTTTACACAGTAAATCCTCATTAAATCCCTTCATGGTCTCACCTTTTTCTAACCCTGTAACTCTCTCTAGCTCTACAACACAGACCTCTCCTTGGATGGGGATGGGGATGGGGATTGGGGGGGGGGGGGGGTGGTTGCGTGGGGAGGGGGGGTGCCTCCAGCTTTAACCATCACCAAGCTCCCACTTCCCCCAATCTCTCCCTCCCCATCACTCAAATTCTGGCAACTGTTCCCTCAGTCAGCTAGGTCCCTTTACTCAAACCCTCTTCCCAATGCCTACACTACCTCCCTCCCCCCTATTTAAACATTTTCCTCAATACCTTCCCATTGACCATGCTTTGGTGGCCTCTCCCCCAGGCTCCTTATTTGCTTCAATCTTTTCTCTGAAAGCTTTCGATAAATTAAGCTTGTCACTGGTTGTATCTGGTGTTTGACCAGATGATTTTCCTGCCTCGCATTAATGGATTCCCAACATTCTGAACTATCCCAGTGTCAACAATGGCTACTCCAATACCCACAATACTCTGCACTTCAGAAACCACTCCATCTATCACATGGCATCACTGGGTTGATCATTACTTGCAGGAAGGTTGCATAGCAGCTCGAGAACACTGCTGCTTGTTGCAATTCCAGAGGGAGCAAATCGAGAGAAGGACTGGGCATCACTGATTATGGAACAATCTCTGTGAGCAGGCAAGCATTAGTTTAAAGAAAAAAAATAAAATCTCATGATGTGGGAATCATTGGAAAGGCTGGCTGTCCATCCCCAGTTACCTGGAAAAGTGGTAGGGCTTTGATAATTGAGTGTGGCTTACCAGACCACATTGAGAGTTAATCACGTTGGTGTCAGACGGGAGTCACAGATAGGCCCAGACTGGGTCAGGATTGCAGGTATCCTCCTCTAAAAGTCACTGAACCAGTTGAGTTTTCACATCAATCTGACAGCTTTATATTCACTTCCACTGATTCCTGCCACATGGCTCCAGAATTCAAATTTTCCGATTGTCTTGTGGGATTTAAATTCCCACTCTGTGAATTACTAATCCTGCTTTAGAATCACTGGATTACCGTACACAAAAACCTCAACAGAAACACAACTCACTGCTCCAGTGTGGATGGTGCAGACGCAGAACTGGAGCCTGCAACTGAGGGAACTTTTAATGGAGCAGGAGACACAGGTGAGTTATTTGACCAAGACAGCAATGTTTAGAATTAATTAACCACAATTACACTGTTCAGCCTGTCCAGAGACTTTATGACACACTTCTAGAGCAGGTGGGACTTGAACTGGGGTCTCCTGGCACAGAGGCAGGGACATTACCATAGAGAAACAAAAGTCCCATGACATTTACACTAATAGCTTCACTTCACTTTGCACGTTCTTGTTAACTTCTCTCACACTCCTCTCCATCTCAGAAATGCAAACAAGAGGACGTACAGCAAATGGCCCTGGCAGCTTCTGCAGCAAAATCTAATCTCCACCTGGGGGATTGTGTCAGCGTCCAATCCCCAGTAAGACTCCCTGAGGACCGCCGATGCACCAAAGTCAAATGGCTTGGAGGGGGTGCAGAGGAGATTGACCAGGACATTGCCTGGGATGGGCATTTCAGCGATGAAGAGGGGCTGGATAAGCTCGGGCTGTTTTCTTTAGAGCAGGGAATGTTGAGGGGGACCCCATAGAGGTGTATAAGATTATGAGGAGCATGGACAGGGTGGATAGACAGCAGCTGTTCCCCTTATGTGAAGTGTCAGCAACAAGGGGACATAATTTTTAAGGGAAAGATTTAAAGGGGATTTGAGGAAATGCTTTTTCACCCAGAGATGATGGAACACACTGCCTAGGAGGGGAGTTGAAGCAGGAAACCTCACACCCTTTAAAAAGAACTTAGATCTTCACCTGAAGTGTCAAAATATTCAAGGCTTCGGCTCTAGTACTGGAAAGTGGGACTAGTGCAGATAGCAGTGTATTTTTGATGGGCCAAATGGCCCTTTATGTACTGTATAATTCCATAACGGGGTTGGCTAACTGCACTGTGAAAAGGTGTACCTTGGGTTGTGGAGATGGAACAACTATAAATGGCCTCAGGTTCCTTGGGGAATGTAGTGGTGCCTTTGGAACTGGAGAAGGGCAAATCAATATGACTTGCTCAAACTATAGGCACTGAGCAACCAGGAGGGAGGTTCATGGAGGAGGCGGCTGGGTTTGGGGTGGGGATTGCATGGAGGTGATGGTTGGGGGATAGGAGGGTTTGTTGGAAGTGGGGTCTATCAGAGGAGGGTTCTGGGTGGGAGAGTTTGGAGAAGGGGGCAGGAGGCACTCAGACACAGTGCGTTGTCAGCCAGTAGTTATTGCATCAGTGCCATTGCCACAGCCAATCATGAGCAAGACAATCTTGACAATTAACAATGGTGATTGGCTGAAGATGAATCCCATCCCCGTATTGAACAGTTATGATAGGGCGAGGTGGGAGGAGTGGGAATGGGAGACAGAGACGGGGAAATGGGAATGGGAGTGGGAGCGAGAGGGGGAAATGTAATGGGGGGG